GAAGGATTGATGAATTGAGCGATTTCTTTTTTATTTCAAGACATTTTTAAAATAACTGCAATTATATCGCACATTTGCTCTGCTTATATTTCATCTATTTCGCCAGCGCAAAATTGGAGGCAACGAATCTTCCCATTGGCCCCTATTTCAATGGCGATTTCATTCTTTTTGAGCAGGAGAATGTCGATGACGCAACACCTCTAACCGTCTTCTACCATTTTATTCAAAATTGACGCCATAGACGGGACATGCAGCCGTCCATCGTCACGTAGTCAATTTCGGTCCCGGTCATAAATCACACAGAAGCTTCCGTTGGTCTACTGACTATTAAAGGCACCAACGCTGTTTAGAGAAGTCCATCACCCTCCATAGATTGGGGTTAGTTGAAGACTTTTTACTTTTACTTCATAGTTGAGTGAAGCATCCCACACGCCCGCAGAACGCATTCCAACGCGAAGCTATTCGTTTGGTTGTCGCACATGGTACGAGAAAGTTGGTTCGACGGTTACAAAAAGGAGTGCAGCTACTCGGCTACGGTGGGGAGGGTCCGAAAAAGAAACATAGCAACTATCTCTGCAAACGTGAGGGTGTTCGAGTAAGCACAAGAAGCGCAGCCAGGGTAGCCTTTTCCTTCAATTTATGCCATCCTAAACCCGCAGCAATTTGAAGAAACCCTCACGTTACCCTGAGTTCGCTCTGATGCACGTCTTTTAACACGCTCCCTCGTTTGCAGGGAGTGCATGTACGATGGAGGAAATTCTGCACGGGAAAGTCTAGCCGTCGTAAAACGCCCTGCACCACCGTCGGATATGCAGTATATGTAAGACACATTAAAGGTCACCTCCGAAGAAGTCAGGGTCTCCGTTTTAAAGTGGGCAGGGACGGGGGTTAGGTAGGGGACTCCGGGTGCTGTTCCATGCTCCGCCTGGGCTGCCCACTATGTGCAGCACTTGCGTCTATACCAAGTTCTCTCAGCGAAAGACGAGAACAACCAAGGATCGAGAGAGCGCAGACAAGTAAAAAGTTTGGCCATGGCTGAGCGCATGGCTGGCCGTGCGGCAGCGCGGGAGGAGTGAAACAGCACTCGAGCATCGCTCTTCCCCGTTCTCACGCACTTTTGAACTGAGAAAGTGGCACGCAACTCAGCTGTGGGCCCCACATAGAAAGGAGCACGACACGTGGAGGCGACTGTACAGGTCATCTTAAAACTTTACACTTGACATTTCTAGGTACGACTGAATATGCAGCAATCGAAAATGTATCAAATATTATGGAGATGAATCCCATTATATTGTTTCTTACCAGATAAATAACCATATATTAATATTCATTATCATATGAAACAAACCTGATAAACTCTTCGTGCCTCTTAATGAGTTCGGCTTTGCGTCAAATGCATCGGGCAGTGATGATTGGGAGCAACTCTTCACATCGACATCCAAACGATCAGAATTCTGAAAATGATGCCGTGTCGCCCATAATTGTGTGAAAGGTATTGTGCATATATACGAATGGCTGGTAGAGAGTTTGGGGCGATAGGAGGGTAGCCAGACTGCTGGTAGGGACTATTGGGAAGAGTAACAGCTGTCGGCGCTGTTTGTCGACGTGGGGGGGGGGGGTGGGAAGTTTGTATTATTCATTTGTTCTCCTAGTTGCCGGTTTACAAAATCTCACTCTTGTAAAATTGTGAACTCTTGTGAAGCTGGAAAAGTTAAAATTGTCTAGCGCCTATCCTGAAGCGGAGTCAATTTTTCGGGAAAGAAACGGCTGCCAGGATGGGTCGACACATCTATGGGAAAGCAAAATGCCCCCCCCCGGGTGACAAACTGCGCCACAGCTGTCTGCCCCTATCTCCCAATACATCCCACTTCCGGATGCTGAGGGTCGCTTGTGGACGCTGGTAGACGGCTCTGTTCGCTAGATCGATACCTGTAGTCCTTGGCCCTCGAAACGCTGCTGGTAGAGCTTGATAGTATCCACACTTCCCTAATCGCTGACGCAGCCGGACGCAAGGAACGCTAGTCGGATGCGGCGTGACCGCAGTGGACCGGCTGCGCGAAGTATAAATGCAACCTAAAGAGTTCATCACCGGATTGTGTGAAATGGCAGTGTCAGCACCCCTCCCACTCTGGTACGGCCCCTATAGCAACTTAATGTCTCACACTGTAACCACACTGGAGTTCGAAAAGTTCCGCGTCTCTCAAATAAGAAGAAGTGCAGGTCGAGATAGCGAGAGAGTATGACCAGCACGCGGTGATACGGGGGAAATCATCATCGGAAAAAGTTTATCGCGCTTGGAAATTTTCTCATGATCAGATGACCCCCCTTCCCTGGAACAGATGCTACTCCAGTGACCACATGTTCCCAACGATCATTGCCACACCTCAATTTTCCCAATGATATTGTACCATGATGCATAAGAAAGAAAAGTAGGTGCGGAATCATGCAGTTGTCGCTGGAACGCCTCTTTTCGCCCTCCGATATGGAATACAGGAGCAACCGTGTGCGCGCCGGCTTGATAAAGCGGCCGATTAATTAGTCATATAATATCAGTCGGATGGAGAAATTTCGCTTGCTTCTCTGCGATCTTGCAAATAAATGTGGCGATAGGGGCGTAATTCGGCGACAGGGCGAGTGGGGAAGGGGGTCATTTTGCACTTTTGCTCCTTCCAGTTGTCATGTTTATTGCTTTACAAGAGTTGACGAATAGTTCCTGCAAAGACTGGTATCACTTCATGGCTCCACAAAATCTCACAAATCCCACAAATCCCTACTCGGCGGCCCGATCCGACACTTTGAAGTGGCGAAAGTGAAAAATGCCCTCCCACCCTTCCCCGACGCCGAACTGCGCCGAAAACAAGAGTGTCTCTCTCAAGCTGTTAAAACGCTCTGCTTGATTTACTTTTCTTTTTATTTCCCCAAGCTGAGTCTTTTATTCCGAAGGTTGACGCTAAGGAGTCTGGGGGAGACGGAGTAAAGCAGAGCGGCAGTAAAAAATTGACCTAGCTGTATGTTCCAGTTGCGAAACTGTAAAAAGGGGCGGCGGTTGTCAAAGCATCGAGCGGTGAAAAAAAACATGTGACGGGACGGGAGATAGGTTTTGTCAAAGAGAGGGGAAGCCCTTGTGGGTGAGCCACTTCATGCGTTTGAAGTGGAATGTGTAAGGTCGCTGTGGTCAAGGAACGCCATGCAGACTAGACTGCGTGGAAAAACAGGAAACTAACTCGATTGAAAGGTATCAAGTTCAAGTGGTCCTCAGGCAGGAAGCATTGGGGCATGTGGCCATGTATGCTTTGCGAATCTACGCCGTGTCAACTCGTCTGCGCTCACCTATGCCTGAGCCTAGAAAAAGAAAAAAGGCTAAACGTAAGGGAAGGGACGCTTCTCTTCCCATCCCTCATCCCTTTGTCCCAAACTCGGCTGGCGCCTAGAACTTCACTTAATAAATGAAACACACCTGTACCTGGACATGTATTGACCAGTATGACGACAATAGACTAGGTTTTGAGGCACTCTGATGAATGTTTAGAAGATCCCCTTTTTGAATATACATGACGTGTTGTGATTCATGTAAACTGAAACCATGAATTTAATTTAACGGAGAAATCCGTCAATAGTTTACGCAATAAATGACGTCATAGAATGTGAATGCCAGGAGAACACTATTTCAATACGTATTCCTTTATGGTAGCTGGCAATGGTTTATGGGTAAAGGGTACCAGTTATTACTCTATTCATTTGAAAAGTGCGCTCCGGGAAGATTTATTCCAGAAACAGCTGAAGAAAGATTCATGTAAACTGTTCGCTAACTTATATTACTCGAGGGCGATTTATCATACTCGCTGCATTTGTTTAATGGATCTGCACTACGCATCACATAAATTTCCTATGTACTGAAAAAAAGTAAAATAAAACCAGTTGTTGTCAATGACCACTAACCGGTCATTCCGCTGTGGCCGGGCCCTATGAAAATACTAAATGAAATGGCTCTGATTTCATTTGTCTCGTATGGATTTGCAATACTTCGAGGGCATGATGCACCACAATTGGTACTCGGTCTGAAATGGTAGCAAGGGTGCTATACAGCGGGAAAATGACATAAATCGAAATGAAGCGGTCAAAAATCTGCAAAAAAGCCTTTGCCCTACACGACTCAGAAAGCATGTAAGGACGGGCTTTCCGTTGGCATCGTGCCAATAAGATACTGCTGCAGGACATACGGCTGCATGTATGCGCTCATATATCCATGCAGCACCGCAGCCGCTTCATATCAATCCCTTCGCTTCATACTGTACACGATACGAGCGTCAGCATCGCTTTAACATTTGTGGGCGGGCGGGCGCGGGCGTCGGGCGTCCAAGTCGGTATGTTGCAGCTTGATAGGGCGCCATAGGGGTACCCTTTTTAGAAAAAGCGCCACGCAGCCACTTGCGTTGGAGGCATTTTAGATCCAAGGTCAGGAAAAAAAATGGACCAGGAGAGAGAATGTGTGTCAATAATTTGTGAGCTACTTCCCATGAATTTAGCTCTCCAGCCGTGACCTAGGAGTGATCACATAGGAAAACCCCTAAGTGCTGTGCTAGCTTATTCAAGGTATGGTGTTTTTATTCATTTATTTAGTTATTGAATTAAACCCTATGATGTGCCAAATACCCATAGAAAAGAAACTCGAGAAACAAGTACCCAGATAGTGCACCTAAAAATGAAGAAGAGACATGTCACTCGAAAGAAAGCGCCAAAAAACTGAAAGAGAAGCAAGTAGGCTGCAAATCGAATTATCTGGAGGAATTGAAATTGGGCTTTCAAGTACTGAAAAATTGTTTCCCCTATCACGAAGATGAAGAAGATCCACCCAATCTTGCGCTTGTTGGCCTAGAAGTTCAACGTTTACAAGTCGGTGCTCAACCTCCTTCAGGAGAACTAATACCTATGAGCTGGACCAAAAAGTACAGGTGTGATGTTAGGTAATTAAAAATCATTCAAACTCGATCTGCATCGTTTTACACTGCGAAGATGGCGAATTCTCCAAAAGGTTACCCAACAAAGGTAATTTGATCAGCGCAAGAAGAAGCAGTGTTTACACACGATTGGATGTGAATGATTATCACATTTGAATTATAAAGTAATTCCCATGAGATAAGATGAGCAGAGAGTGAAGGAAATCAGATGGTAAACATGCAGTGGTGCGATGAACGGCGGCTTAGATTCGAGCGCTATCTAGCATCCGAAGATGTTATGGGCAGACACGACAGCAGTGGACGGCAAGCCGTTTGGACCACGTACTGAAAAACACGAGCTGAGAAAAACACGTCAGCAGGAATCGCTTTTCTTTGGAGAGGGAGGCAGACTGATAGAAGCCTGAGAAAATCTTGGACGAAAAGGACAAAGAACGTTTAAACGGGCATTAATGCCAATTGAAACACAAGTAGATAAAACAACAGGCAATCTTGCTGGGAAATGAGTCATCGCTCCATTAGCAAAAGTCAAAATTCAATATTCTTTATCACAATTTTGAAATCGCAAATTTCTTGTTTTGCTCTTTCTTCAATCCATGGAGCGATACGAGCATCAGGATCGGTCGGACATTTGTGGGCGGGCGGGGGCGGTGGGCGTCCCGGTCGGGTTGGTTTGGAGCTGGTTGGGGGCTAGTAGGTACCTGAGGCGCTTGCTCAGAGGCTTCGAATTTACACTGCTAGGCGTCTTAATCCTACACGTTTAAGGGATTTATCGTTACACTTGCCTTTGAGAACAACGC